ATGTTACTATTCAAGAGGAGGCCGGCTCTACACCTAAAGCTAAGCAAAGTTGGAGGGAGGGTATATATTTAGACAAGGAACATGATCTCCGCAAGATTGTTATTCTAATGCGGAACAGAATAATGGCCATTTGGCACAAGATGCATGCATGCGTGCTTGCCCCTTGACTCAGCTAGCTAAGCTAGTGATGCAGAAGCTATCCCGGCCTGGCCGGCTAACGAAGCAGCCAACAATGTACTCCACGACTTGGAACTTTATTAAAAGAAGATAACTGCATGTGTTAGCTTGCTAGCTAGGGGACGGATGAGAGATGTATATATGTGTACAAACACTGCTTCTTGTCCCATCTTGAAGCAAAGAAGCCTACTACTACTCTTCAACAGTAGGATCGATCGGATATGGATTGGTCTGATGGCTCAAGTGATAATCCCAAGTCAAAACAATTTGTTATCTGTCTATCTGTAAAGTATGCTTAAAAGAAACAGTGCAACGCGATGTTTATCCTCTTGGCATATATTATTAATATTTAAGTTATATGGCAAGACCCACTACTTTGGCTGATCCTGACAAGTGACAAGGTTGATCAATCGTCAACATGATAGCCTTTTCCTTATATTCGACAATAGCTGTAAATCCAAATAAAAAATAGCTGTAAATCTTGTGGAAAAAACTCCCGTTTAATGCATAAGTTAACCTAGCTCATCATGATAAAATAAAATAAACGTAACATCTCATGTTTAAAAGACAATTATTTTCTGTTCGGAAACGATATTGCGCGAACATCAGATTTGTAGCAAGTTCAAGCAAACTCTCTGCCTGCCATCAGATCACCTGTACGGATCTTAACGCAAGCAGCCTTGCCATGTCATATTCAAAAACTCGTTCGGTAAACACAAAAGCTGCGCGAACGCTATCCTAACTAAATAGAGCTGCCCATAGGAATGGCTAGGGTGTAAAACCTCCACCTAGAAAGCATGGGATCAAATCCAAGCTGTTCCTTTCAATTTTTTTCCTTTTACTAGGTGGCAAAAGTATGCAATTTTTTGTTTTAGTTACATGATAATTTTTAACAAAAAATGTACATGGCAGATTTATGAATTTTTGAACTAGTCACATGACAAATTCTAAACATTTTTTTAATGTTTCACATGTCAAGCTTGTTTTGCACACATGACAAATTTTAGGAAAAAATTCCCATGATCCCCTGACAAATTCATAACATTTTGTCTTCCAAACATGGCATTTTAGATCTTTTCTGTAATGCTACCATGACAATATTTGGGAATTTTTATCAATTATTTTCATGCCAATTTTTGACAAATTATTCTACTTTCGCACATGGCAGTTTTGTTATTAAGAGCATGGTAAAAAAATATCATGGCAACTTCCCGTGTATGATTTCTATGTGTTTCTCAAAATAAAATATGAAGCATGGTAAATTCCTTGTGCGTGTTTTCTAACTAATGTTCAAATTTTGCGATGTATGATCTTTTTTGTCTGCATTTTCGGCCACAGTTTTTTTAAGATTTTTTCTTGGAAAGGATTCTTTTTAAGATTTACTATGGCCTTTTGCCATGGGTATTTTGTTTGGTAGGCTACCATGGCATCTTTTTTGTTTGCGTCTTGTAAATTAAGTTTTTTTATGCCTTTTTCTGTGTCAGAAAATATTTCATTTTTGGTTGATGGCCAGTGGTTTTAATTAGCTAATGAGTTCTCACGAGTGATGCTTCATCTGAAGTACAGTATTATTATTTCCAAATGATTAGTGTTACGGCACCTTTATTTTCATGAAATAAACAACAAGCTCAGCTGGCGCCTTTTGTTTTTTTGTCGCGTGGTGCAAAGCACTAGTGCTAACAGTACATCTCAACACAGTGAACCCTGATAATTAGTCGTGACGGCTGCTTAATCATTGTTTAGGCCACTCTTTGCGTTCCGCGGCATTGAAGCAAAGTAGGCACGAGACAGCCGTGGCGTTGATGCCCCCTCCGCCAACACTATTAATTGTTGCCATTAATACGGTGCTTATCTTGTGAAACTCACAAGCTCGGCTGGTTCCGTGTGTGATGAGAACTGTTGCATTTCTACGTTTGATCCAGGCTATACCAAATGCACGGTATGTAACGTGTACAGAAATACTGAAACCGTAGAGCTTGCTTGCTTGGGCGGGTAGGGATCCAATAGACGACCTTACATTTTGTAAAGAAAAAAAAAAGATGTTTCTCCTCATTTCTGCATCCATTTTTTTAACCTAAAGGATAACACACCCGGTAAATTACCTCACCTAATTGAATCCCATTCGGTTTGACAACGGTTTAGTATTACCTTCTCCAGTGATCATATATCAGGCCTAGACTCAGACGCGGTTAAACTAAGCTCGAGCTCACCTGAACTCGGGTTAACAGTAAAATGACAAAAATGAATATTTTTTAGTAACAAACATAGACAAATGTTTTGACTGCTTGCAAAGTTTCAACATCAGACGACATTCGTGCAAAATATGGTAAAAATAAATCAATGTTTCAAAAGTGTTATTTTCAAAAGCATTTTGGAGCATCCATTTTGTTTACTTTTTCATGTCTTACAACGAATGTCATGTCATGATGAAACTTTGCAAGCAATGAAAACATTTGCTGAAAAAAATCAGATTAATTTTTTTCTTCTGATTTTACTGTTCACTCGTAACCATGTCATCGTATATACATTCTGCAGGTACACATAGCAGCCAAAGACACAGTATACTTTCTTTAGCTCCATGAATTACCGATAAACTCGGCAATGAAAAAGCATTCAGCCGTACTCACACATGTGGACTGACCAATCGAACGTGTGGTGCGAACAAAATGATGACAAGTTGGCGTGATCATGTGTCCGTTCTGGAAGCATACTACTATAGCTAGCTAGCAGCTAAAAGCACGGGCGTCTAAATCCATTCGAGACAAGGAGAGTAAAACTGGGAGGCGTAAAACCTGAGGACGCCACGCAAGGCCGGCAAAATATCACGGAAGAGCTACAGCTAGGAGAGAAAAGATATACAGATGGAGCGGCAAGCAAGGCTGAGGCTACAAAGAAAGCTTTGCATGGGCGAGGACGATTTGGGCCGTTAATCTCTGGTCCAAGGCGGTTAATTATTAGTTAGTGCCGTTTTTACCGATCCGTTTAGCCGTGTCCCAAATGCCGTGCTGTGATTAGAACCTCGCAAACGTAACCGCCAACTCCTCACTTGGCCGCTAGTTTTTCCAGCGCCATCTTCCAATCCACGACCACGAGTTGGTTTACCTTTTGTCTCCTTCCCATGTCCTTCCTTTCCTTTGCTTTCCTTTCCTTTTCTTGCAAGGCTGGGTTAACCCCGGCCGATGTAAAAAAGGCAACTCGTCGACAACAATAATATCTGTATCTGGTGGTTAATTAGCCTTGACCACGTTTTTATCGCCCTTTGATTGAGGTTAGGATCAGGATCTAGCTTCTCTTCTCTTGCCATATGAAAGCAAGTTCCCCCGGGCCGTGTACGCTGCAAGGAAACAGCTAGCGCAGACATGGAAAAGTTGTTGCTTAACACAATATATAATTGGTTGATACACTTTGCGCAAGCAAGACGAGATTGCTATCCAAAAGTCTGGCAAGACATAATCACGTGCTTCCAGGATTGCTGTTTTATTTGCCATTTTCTTTTACCAAAATGAGAAGCAAATAGTAATGACTTTGGGAAGGGGAAGTTAATCAACATTTGGTTTTAAATTTACGATTCTAAATGAGGTATACCAATAAGGCAGGCCCGGTGCACACTCCATCCATCCATGATTCTGCAATCTCACCATAAAATGTTACCTTTTCCGTACTAGCCAAAATCACACAATTAATGTAGACATTCAATCCACACCAAAAGAGACAGAGCATTGAACCTCAATTAATAGACAATGGTTGCAAACATGTGAAATAGTATCTCCAAGAAAAGAAAAGAGATCCCCTGAAAGCAATGTGGCATAGAGATAGCAAGCAAGCACCGTGGTTAAATCCGTCCACCATTTTCATTTTCAATGCAAGCAAGAGGAAGCAACCCCGCTCCCTTGAGACCAAAACCATCGCTGATAGGCTTTATAGAGACAAGACCAAAATTAGCTAGCTAGCTAGCTAGGCAAAAGGAAACTTGAATTGGTAGCAATGCCAATGCAAGATATATGTCAAGCGAAAATGTGGTTGTGCCTGCCAACCCCAGTTCACAAGGCATAACATGCTGCCATTTGAGACGCCAAAACCATGTATAATCCAGCAAGAAAGAAAGATATATCTGCCATGTCATGTCACCAACCAACCCTATGTACTGTACTACATCCCCCATGAGAATGGGAGGAAAAAAGAAACATGCCCCTGGCCCCTCCTCCCCAGCCCCGAGTGAGTGAGAAACAAAGGCAGCAACAAATGAAGCAAACAGCCCAAGCCAAGCAAAGGCATGCAAAGCAAAGGCTGCCAAACCAAAGATGCACACACTAACCACAATCATGAACGGCCAGGAGGCCAGCCCCACCACCTCACCACCCTTAACAAAAACACCAGAAACCAAAATTTGGAGGAGGAGAAATCAAGAAAAAGCTGAGGAGAGAGAGGGAGAGAACAAAGGACGGGTGGGAGGATCAAGAAAGGGAGAAGAGGCTTTGCATCCAAGCGTGCTCCCCCCCAAGCAACCCCCTTCCCTCCTCTCCTCTCCTCTCCTTCCGGTCAGCGTCCCTGTTGACCACCCCGTTGCAACGGAACGGAACGTAGGGGAGGGCACATCCTCCTTCCTTTCCTTGTGTAGCCAGCCAGCCAGCCAGCCACGCACCCCCTCCTGCTCCTGCTCCTAGGACTATATATAACTCCCATCCTCTCCCATTCTCGCCATTACGGACACACCATCTCCCTCTTTCTCTCCCGCAACCGTCCAAGACTTGCAACAGCTCGCCGCCCGCAGCAACGTGACACAGACGCCGCATCGTGTGAGGAGAGGAGAGGAGGCAGGCGGCATGAAGACGAGGCGCGGCGCCTGCTACTCCTGCCATGACCCGGCGGCCGAGGCGCCGGAGATGCACCGCCGGAAGAGGCGGAGGACGGCCATGGAGACGGCGGGGTGCGCTGGCGCTGCCGTCGGAGACTTGTTCGAGGACCTGCCGGATGATCTGCTGGTGTCCATACTTGCTGATGTGGCCGCGTCCGCCCGCTCGCCGGCCGACCTCGCCGGCGCCATCATGACGTACGTGCCTCTTTACTCCGCCTTCTTATATGAATGCGAATCGTCGCTGGGATGGAGATGGAGTTCTTACGGGGAGTTGTTGGGATGTGCTCGCAGGTGCAAGAGATTCAGGGAGTTGGGCCAGAACAAGGTTGTCCTTGCCAAGGTGTCGCCGCGGTGCCTCGCCGTCCGGGCCAAAAGCTGGTCCGACTCCGCCCACCGCTTCCTGCAGCGCTGCGCGGACGCCGGGAACCTCGACGCATGCTACCTTCTTGGCATGGTAACAACCATGGGCAACCGTGTTCCCGTTCTTTCCTTTTGTGCTTGGCGATCGTTTCGTAACTGACCCATGTTTCCATTGTTTAGATCCGGTTCTACTGCCTGGGGAGCCGGGGGTCGGGAGCGGCGCTCATGGCGGCGGCGGCGGTCGGTGGCCACCGGGAGGCGCTCTACTCGCTGGCCGTCATCCAGTTCAACGGCAGCGGTGGCAGCAAGGACGACCGCGACCTCCGAGCGGGCGCTGCGCTGTGCGCGCGCGCGGCGTCGCTCGGCCACGTCGACGCCCTCCGCGAGCTCGGCCACTGCCTTCAGGACGGCTACGGCGTGCGCCGCTCCTTGCTCGACGGGCGCCGCCTCCTCATCCAGGCGAACGCGCGGGAGCTCGCCGCCGCGGTCACCACGTCGGCCTCGCTGCTCCGCGCGGCAGCCGGCAGCGGCAAGGCCTCCAGGAGACACTCGTGCCTGCTCAGCGACTTCGGGTGCCGCGCCGCGGCCGCCGCGGCCGGCGAGGCGCATGCCGCCAACCGGTTCCTCGTCGAGTGGTTCGCGTCGCGGCCGCTGGGCGCCGAGAGCAGCCCAGCGCCGGCGCCGGCGCCGGCGGCAGCGGAGGAGGGCGGGGGGCTGCGGCTGTGCTCGCACGCGCTGTGCGGTCGGCCGGAGACGCGGCGGCACGAGTTCCGGCGGTGCTCCGTATGCGGCGTGGTGAACTACTGCTCGCGCGCATGCCAGGCGCTGCACTGGAAGATGGCGCACAAGGCCGAGTGCACGCCCATGGACCGGTGGCTCGACGGCGCCAACGCTAACCCCAACCCCAATGCCGTCGCAGGCGCAGGCGACGCCGCCGTGGTCGCTCCGGCCCTGTAACCGTCGCCGTGTCCTAGCACCGGACTCGGCTCCCCTGACGCACTGCAGGGCGCAGTTGGGTCACTGACAGGTGGGCCAACTTGCTTTCGGGCCCATCTGTCCCGTTTCTTTTATTTTTCTGGCCAGTTCTTTTTTCTTTTTTTTCCCGCACCCTTCTCTGTACATGGTCGCTGCGGTAAAGGTTAGCCGAGTCTGGTTACTTGCGAATTGTTTTTATTATTAAGAAGAAAAACTTTTATTAACCTGGAGTAGCAGTACAATGTTTTTTCCTAAAAAAAAGAGTTCTGTCGAGATGTGATGTGAAATGTGGCGTCGAAAGTTGTGCAGTTTCCCTTCTTTGCTGGCGCCCAACTGCCCGTCTGCCACTCTGTTACAGAAATGGCAGGGAGAGGAACTGAAACGCGACAAGGGAAGTAAATTGGCCTGGTGTTTCCGCTTTGAAGTTCAAAATACGCCCTGCAGGCTTGAGCAGGACGGTCTCTGCGTGCGTCTGCAACCGTAGTAGTCTGCCTCGGTCGATCTCGTGACCAGCAAGAAAGAGGGCCGTGATAAAAATGAAAATAAATTGAAACCCAGCGGAGTAGAGTAGGATTCCCGTGCCCCGGAAGTGGATTTGGAGGATCGTATCCTCATCCAGTGGGCCGGATATGGAACGTGTGGAAGCTAGTGCGCCCGACGGGATCGTGCACCGCCGAGTGATGCCTGTCAAACACAGATATCCGGCTGCTGCTAGTGTGTGTAATCGCGATAGATTCGGCGCTAGTGGACCGTGATGGGGCGGAACCTCAGGCGCACATATGTCAACGTGTGCATGTGTGTGCGGGACAAGCAGATCGACGCGTCCTTGTAGTACCGGCGTTTAACTTCTTGCCGAGGGAAGCAGCAGCGAGTTGGATGTACGTTTATCTGTATGGGTGGATGGCTACCGCAAAACTATGGTCACGATCCACTAATGTCTACTCTCTTTTTCCTCGTAGAATCCATCATTGTTAGTTAGTTTTAGGGGACGAGACTTGCCTGCTCCCCTCCCGTGTGCCCATTCGTGCTCCCGCATACGTGCCTTGATTTGATTGAAACAAAATAAGGCCCGGCCCCATCCCTTAAAATCAGGGGGGAGATGATTAGATTAGAAAGAAAAAAGAAAAAAAGGCAGCCGTTGAATGAGGTGGGAGCACGGATGGGAGCACGGAAAGGGAGCAGGCAAGCCAGATCCAGTTTTAGGGGCGTGCTACCTGTCCGCGGGTCGATCTTTTCAAAACATCGGCCGTCGCGAGCCATTAGATTTGACCCATCGAGTGGCCGAATGTTACCACCCACCACTGCAACACATGCATTGTTACAACCGTCGTGTTGCAGATTTCTTTTGTAAGAGACTACTTGTTGCAGCATTATTTCTACAAAACGAAACCGCATCGCATCACAATAGTCGTTCACCGTCAAGATTTGCAACCACACCGTTGTTGTTGAAATAGCTGCCTGCACTTGCCTTTGTGCTGAGGACACGTGGTGGGCAATGGAGGCGGCGAACACACATTATTATCACGCCAAGGGCAATACTTCCGTTACTTTTAGGCGTAGATATTGTTTTTATTATAAATAGAAACTCTAAACCTTCCTTTTTGTGTGTAATAAATATATTGGAATGTTTTTTTTCATATTCTAATAGTTGTTTTTTCCTGATTTACTCTCTCTGTCCTAGCTTAGTAAGCAAATACTCCCTCTGTAAAGATCACTATAGTGATCTAAACGCTCTTATATTTCTTTACGGAGTGAGTAATTTTTAACATTTAATTTTGGCCAAGACCTAGATTCAACATATGTGGTTCATCGTATACAAAATTATGTTGATGGATTCACATTCATTGGAGTTCAAATGCATTTTAGTGGACAAAATTCTTGGTCGAAGTTAAATTACAAAAACATAAACACATCCTAAACTTGGAGGGAGGCGTGAGTGCCATATCGTAGCCCTTGGGCCTTTCGATTCAAAGATTTCTAAAGAAAATTTGGAGGATTCTAATCCTTGACATTTTTTCTGATATCTATTTTTTGATTCATAGGATGTACTTTGTAGAAATATTTCCTTAGATTAAATTAACAATATTTCATAGGGAAATTTTCATCCACTTCAGCCTCGCATGAAGAATCCTTTGTTTTTCCCTCGCACAATCAATACATGCAATCTTGTAGTGTTCAAGATGGCATGTCACTCCATTGTTTTGTTTTTGATATTATTGCATTTTAAATATCATGTGCATCAAAGAGGCCCTAGGGTGCCGTGCTCATGCCGGCCGCCCTCGCTCCTTCCTTCCTCTCCTCTTTTTTTAATCTTTCTCGCCACCATTAACTTTCTGCTCGTCAGACTGCTAGGTCTCATATACTGACCGTGCAGCCTTTTGAAGGCATCGTCACCACTAAGAAAATATTAATGGCATGTGAAATTAGCCCAGTGGCCCACGTCACAAGTATTTTGAAAATAATAATATCTGTGACATGATTTCAAAGTGGTGCGCCACTAAAAGATCATGTGCGAGCTTAGTTTATTGATGGCAGAACCTATTAGCTTCGACAAATTATTATGCTGCACAAAACAAGGATTCTTTTTGAGAGGACGTGAATGTGTACCATATTTTTATAGAAGGCATAATTTTAAGTACAGGAAGACAACAACTTGTTGCGAACAACGAGCGCAGACAATAGCAGCTCCGAAGGAAAGACACCACCACCTCCAACAACCACAACTACAAAGAAAAAGAGCTTGTACAAAGCTGAGCAACATTGCCGCGTCTCGATCAAAGCCGGTTACCTCTGAAGACAACACCGACTCTGTCTGGACTTTCCTTGTCGGCGCACCATCCACCCTTGATGCCACAAAGGAGGTGCAAGTAGATGGCGGAACCTGGTAGGCCCACTAAAGCCACCATCTTGGACTCACCGGCGATGACATACATTGCGCCACTGAAAATCACCTTGGACAAGATGAGCACCGAAAATAGTGCAACATGGAACCTCAAGACCGTGTCATCAAGCGTGATGCTCACAATAGAGTAGCGACATTAAGAATGCCGCCATCGTGCCGGTTCAACTCCGAACCTAGGCTTTTGCTCGTAGACCGCAACCAATCCGTGGAGCGAGGGAGGGATATGCCGACACACCTTGGCGACGCCTCCAAGGAGGGGAACGACAGCCACGGCGCCGTCGCCGCCAGCATCAACCGAGTACGGGCAGGAATTTCTTCCGTATCGCGGCACACCACCTTCCCTGACCATCGGATTGGAGCCACACCGCCCAAGTTGATAACACCACCGCCGCCGCAACACTTCGCAAATGTAGTCGAGATGTCGAGGTCCATCCAAGACCCGCACACAGGATCACACAGCCCAATGAACATCATCCCCATGGCTGAGAAGCCCGACCAAGGGTCACTGAGACCGCACACCACAGCCATCAGGCAAACCCTGGTACACACCTGTGTTGCAGCCCAGATCGGGCCCATCTAGCCCGCGCCGTCGCCTCCTTAACCCGCAACCATGGAACGAGGAGAAGGCACCATGACGTAGGCGTCAGAAACCGGAGCGTGCTCAACCACTACAAGAGCAGCGACTCGTGGCCGAGCCCGGCTGCACCGCCGCCACCTTGACCCGCGTTGTCTCCTCCAGGAGGAGCCACCGTGCCACGAACAATCCTCCCGCGAGCCCCGACCACAATCCTCCTCGCCACTTTGAAGCTCCTTCGTGCATGGTCACACCAGCACCAGATCCGCGCGCGAGAGCCCCCAACGTCTGCAACACCGAGAGAACCCGCCTGATACATCTCCAATGTATCAATAATTTTGGATTGTTTCATAATATTATATTATCAATCTTGGATGATTTATATGCATTTTTATGTTATTTATATCATATTTTGGGACTAACCTATTAACGTAGTGCCCAGTGTCAGTTCTTGTTTTTTGCTTGTTCTTGGCTTTTCAGAAAATAAATACCAAACGAAGTCCAAACACGATCAAACTTTATAGGGATTTTTTCTAGACCAGAAGGGATGCTAAAAGGTCCGGGAGGAGGCCAGAAGAGATACGTGAGAGCCACGAGCTCACAGGGCACACCCCTAAGCTTGTGGGCCCCATGTAGCTCCGTTCGACCTAATTCCAGTCCTATAAATTCACATATATTACCAAACCAACAGAGAGCCACCCGAAACACTTTTTATGCCACCGCAAGTTTATGTTCTTCCGCGATCCCATATGGATGCCTTTTCCAGTACTCTGTCAGAGGGGGAATTGGTCATTGAGGTCCATAGCTAGTAGCTAGATTGTTCCTTCTCTCTCTTTGATCTTCAATACAATGTTCTCCTCGATCTTCTTGGAGTTCTATCCGAGGGAATCTTCTTTTGCGGTGTGTTTGTTGGGATCCGATGAATTGTGGGTTTATGAACTGGTTATTCATTGAAAGTAATTGAGTCTTTTCTGAATATTGTGCATGGTAGTTATAACTTTGTATTTCTCTCTGATTTATCAGTTTGGTTTGGCCAACTAGATTCATTTATCTTTAGTGGGAGAGGTGCTTTGTAATGGGTACAATATTGCTATGTCCACACCCAGTGACAGAAGGGGTAACGAGGCAAGTATTATATTGTTGCTATTAAGGGTAAAACGATGGGGTTTATTCATATTAATTGGGTTTACTTTGTCTACATCATGTCATCATGCTTAAGGTGTTACTCTATTTGTCATGAACTTAATACCATAGATGTATGCTGGATAGCGGTCGATTGGTGGAGTAATAGCAGTAGATGCAGGCATGAGTCGGTCTACTTGTCACGAATGTGATGCCTATATACATGATCATTACCATGAATACATCATAACTATGCGCTTTTCTATCAATTGCCCAACATTAACTTGTTTACCCACTGTGTGTTATGTGTTTGAGAGAGAAGCCTCTAGTGAAAACTATGGCCCGGAACTACTTTAACCATATTATAAAAACTAAAAACACCTT